TAGATTTTCCTCCAAGGGATGTTATAGGCTTGTCTGAAAGGATTTTCTGTGTAGCCCAAGAACAAGGAAGAATGGAGCCATGTGTGGGTCTGAGATAAACCTGGTCACTCTGGCTTCCTATCTGCCATGGGATCTCTTTTTCACATTACCGCCATTCCTTATGCCACGAGGCTTCAGTGCAGCTGATAACTAGCTTCAGGGATGTGGAGAAGCAATTGCTTTTCTGTATAATGCATCCAGCCTCAGGTATTTCAGACAGCACCAGGAAAATGACTAATGGATGCACCTTTGCCCTGTATCCTATCACTGGATTTTGCTCTCCCAGACTGACTCTTAGGGTAGGACTACTATTGTATCACAAGGGTCCACCATAGACCTGGCACAGAGCTTCTGCACATACGTCACAGGAAAAGTAAATTAGTGTAAAAAATTACACAATTTGAGGTCATTAGCACTGAGATCAGTGAAAGCTACAGCCAGGTTTTAAAGTTTTGCATTAATTTTTTTTGGTGGTTGGAAATCAGAAATTAGAGTCATAGAATAATAAACATTAAATATTTAAATATTTTAGAAACAAGAATAACAACCACCACAAAATCCTGACATACAAAACCCAGGAAGTGCAGCTCCTGTGGGTCACAATGAGATTGGATTTATACATGGAAATTAAATACCAGGAAGGAGCAGGAGAAACAACTAGAAAGGAAGAAATGAAAGCAAGTGGAAGAGGAGAGAATGAAACGTGGGGGACAAACGGACAAGAGAAACATGTGCAGAGGACGGATGGATCGGAGGTGAAACAAACGCCGCTGGATGAAAATTCAGTATCGTTCGGATGCAGCTATTCCCACAGCGAGTGCCCCACTGTCCCCACCCTCGGAGAAGGTGATAAACCAGCCAATGGAACTGAGAGGCGTAGAAATCGCTTAGCCAGTACTTATGGAGGTTTTATTCCACCTCAAACTCCTATACATATCACACCAGGATTCGCGTTAGCTCTCTGAAATGGAACAGCAGCAAGAAGCCCACTCGGTGTGGACTGTACCCCAATGACCATTTCAGCCAGCTGTAATTATCATGCTCATCTGGAAGCCGAGTGGTGCCGGGAATAGAAACGGGTCATGGGAAGAGTAGGTTCTTGTCCTGGCATGTCACTGCATGACATTGATTGGGTGAGCTCTGGGTCTTGGTTTCTTTATTTGTTAAACGTGGACAAGGCTTTTCTGTCCTGATTATTTCACAGGGGCGTTGGGAAGAAGAAACACAGGAGAATATAAACCCACATGCTTCCATAAAGACGAAATGCCAGAAGAATGTAAAATTGACCTTATTCTTTTTCACTTAACAAAGTGGTGGGTAGGTGGGGGTGGGGGGTGGATATGATGCATTGTGTGCAGAAGGCTTGGTGACTCAAAGAAGTGTCTTTTTTCTCCTCAGTAATATCTGGTCTGGGATTATTACTGCTTTCCTGGTGATTTTAGGCATACCCTTCTCTCTCAGAAATGCCAAAGGTGCAAAGACTATTCTACTGCTGTAATTTGTCACCCTGGCTGCCTGAGCAAGATGTGCAGAGACAGTTCAGTAATTAAGCTTTTCAATGTGCATCATAAAGTTTTATTCCAGCAAAGGCTATATTTATCAGCTAACAAGTATTAAATCACCCCACTGTTCAAGCCGTTTTTCACTTGAATATGCTCCTTTCAAAACACAGCAGCTTTCTTTGGCTAGCTTGACTAATAAAAGTCCTTACTTGGAAATACACTGGTGACGTGCGGTCTTGTGAAGTAGAAGTATATCCCAGCACTGTTCAAAGTGTCTCTGACTCCCATAGTCTCAGGTGGGTAATGGCGGACATCTTTTCCTTCAGTCTCTTAGAGCATCCTTCCAGTAGCTACTAAGGCATGGATTTCCTTAGCTATTTCTTTTCTAAGGGGGAAGAAGCAAGTGGCAATTCAAACGCAGCAGGGGGTCTTCAGAATGATTGAAACAGTGAAGGGACAATGATCTAGGTAGTGAGGAGGGTGGGTCTCTGCTCACATAGTCAACATCTAACAAATGTACAGGAGTATTAGGATAACATACTTAGGATGAACAGCCATGAAACGTTTTAGTAATGGCTTGGAAGAATGATTCTGTAAATAACCCACTTCCCTCTTTACAAGTTTTTTCTCCCCTTGTAGGACATAAGTGTGCCATTGTTCTTAAAGGTTTAGGACACTTTTTGTCCAACAGCTTCAGACATATCTGTTTAAAACACAACAATAAAGACCGCTGAATGACTTTTTAGGTACTTGAAAGAAAAAAAGTAAAGACAAATATTCATCAAACATGGACCAGCATCATGCAATAAATCACTTGTCATTATTTTGTATCAGAAACTACATTTTATTTTTTCCTTTTTATGCTTTCAAATGAAGTGACACTAGTCACATGCTGGCATTTTAGTTTTTTAGTTTTTCCCATTTATTGCTAAAAGGCAAGCTATCCTCACATGCCAGAGGAACAGGTCCTTATTTATTGATAAACCAGAAAGCTCTGCCAGTGCTTGTGTAGGTATGCATTCGGGAAGAAGCAGGTGAATGTAATTTAACGCTGCCAAGGGACACACTCTTTGGATAGATGTTTCCTACTTTAGGAATCTGAAACATTATTTCTTTGCTTTCAAAATGATGAAACAGTGGGCTGGAGATGTAGCTCAGTGGGTAGAGTACTTGCCTGGCACACACAAAGCCTTAGGCTCCCATACTCAGCACCACATGAACAGGGCTGTGGTGGTTTGAATGGGAATGCCCCCCATAGGCTCATATATTTGAGTGTTTGGCTCCCAGCTGATGGAACTCTTTGGGAAGATTAGGGGGTGTGGCCTTGTTGGAATGGGTGTGGCCTTGTTGGAGGAAGAGTACTACAAAGGGTGGGTTTTGAGGTTTCAAGAGCCCATGTCATTTCCAGTTAGCTCTCTCCACCTTGTGGTTGTGTCTCAGGGTGTAAGCTCTTGGCTACTGCCCCAGTGATGTGTCTGCCCCTCTGCTGCCAAGCTCCCTACCATGATGGTCATGGACTCATCCTCTGAAACTGTGAGTCCCAATAAATTCTTTCTTCAAGTTGCCTTGGTCATGGCATTTCATTATAGCAACTGAAAAGTAACCAAGATAGTAGTATGCATACTTGTCATCCCGGAATTCAGGAGGAAGAGGTAGGGGGATCATAAATTTAAGGCCATCTTTGGTTAATAGCAAATTTGAAGACTGTCTTAAATCTGTTTCTTTTTTAATTATTTAAAAATTAAAATATAATTACATCATTTCCCCTTTCCTCCCTCCAAACCCTCCCATGTCTACTCCCCACTTTCAAATTAATGGCCTCTTTTTCTTCAATTATTATATATATATATATATGAAATTTGCTGAGTCTGTTTAGTATTGCTTTATGTGTGTGATTTCAGAGCTGACCATGTGGCACTTGATAACCATTTAGGAGGCTTCTCCCTGGGAAAGACTCGTTTTCTCTCTCTCAGCATTCCTTAGCTGCCTATAGTTCTTTGTTCAGGGGCGAGGTCCCATGAGATTTCCCCTTCCCACCTTAACATGTTCATTGGTGCCCTTGTTCAGGTCTTGTTGAGGTAGTCATAGTGTTGAGGTATCCTGAGTGCAGCTTCCCTACGATTTCTAGGAGACACAATTTCACTGCAGATATCCTGGTCCTCTGGCTCTTCCAATCTTTTTATAAACTCTTCCAAGATGTTCTCTGAGCTTTAGGTACAGCAGTTGTACTATGGATGTATCCATGGGGGCCAGACACCTCATAATTAGTGGTTCTTTTCCTTTGACCAGTTGTGGTTTTCTGTAATGGTCTCCATCACCAGGCATGACAAACCCCCTTCCCAGTTGTTGGCCAGGAGAATCCAAGAGATATCCCCAAACAACATATGCTATTGCTGTTGTCCTTTGTTGCTTCCCAGAGATTGAAGTAAGACTCTGTTGTTGACACTTTGGACACAGGACACAGAGGATAAGGCTGGATCTGACCTGAAAGCCTCCTGAGACAAGTTTTCATAGTACTGGAAAGTGCTATGCGAGCTGAAGAACAAGGGAGGGAAGGCACCAATAGTCTTATCCAGCTGTGATATCTACAACCACAACAATGACCAGCATGGCAAGATATCCTTGAAGCAATAGTAGTATTCATACATTGGTAGTAACCAACAGCTGTCTAATAGGACTCAAAGTCTTCTCAATAAGATGGAAACCATGACTAATACTAGAAACCTAGCCAACTACCCAGGGTCCGTAAGGTTATAGCTCTTAGAGGAGACCCTACTACCACCACTTAATAAACAGAACTCCCAACTGCATTCTAATGCATTCTAAACACTTACCCTCATACCCACGGATTTTTTTTTTTAAGGACAAACTGTCATTATTTTGCTTTCCAAATTAACCAAAATTAGCTTGTTTGGAAATCTGAGGCTTAATTTTTCTCCAGCCAGCAATCATGGGACCAAATGTGGAAGTATATGGGTGACATGCCAAACTACTAAGTTAGAAAATACTAAGAGACTGAAAATGCATCTCTTTGCTGTTCAGTAGAATTTTTGTTGAACAACAAAAAATTCATTAGCTGTGGCCTAGTCCAAGAGCAATAATGGACAGTAGCAACCACAGGGGGTCTAGTACTAAAGATTGATAAACTTCCTCTTGGTTCTGTTTAGCTTTTATCTCACATATGAAGACTGGTATTTGCTTTAAGGCTAAAAAGTATTGTGTAACTTGGAAAATGAAGATGATTCATGTCATTTTCTGCCAACCTGTAGGGGGTCCCTTTGTGGGTCAAGCTGCTCTTCAAACTGTAGTCTGATGACATATGTGACCTACTACCCAGAGCCTTAATAACTTGGAAAGTAAAAGAAACAAAAATTACTCCACATCTTAGAGAAACCTTGCATTTCAATAATTTGCAAAAATGTCAATTCAAAGATATGTGTGAAGTTATAAAACGAGACGTGATAATGATTGCTCTTTATTCAGACTGAAATTTTCAAAATGATGATAAAGGTTTGGGCCTGTGAATGGGAACTTTGATTTAGTATAATTCTGGGGATGGGTTATTTGTTCATAATAAGCACCATTGTACTCCAACAAGGATTGGTCATAGAAAATCAGAAAAGCTGGGCGGGCGGTGGTGGCGCACACCTTTAATCCCAGCACTCAGGAGGCAGAGGCAGGCAGATCTCTGTGGGTTCGAGGCCAGCCTGGTCTCCAAAGCGAGTTCCAGGAAAGGTGCAAAGCTACACAGAGAAACCCTGTCTCAAAAAACCAAAAAAAAAAAAAAAAAAAAGCAGGGAAGGAGTAAAGTTTAAGAAATTATCATTTTACTACGGGCGGTAGCTATCAAAATTATAACATTGTTTTTATATTTCATATGAAAAATGACAGTTAAGTGGAGACATTCTTTCCAAGTAATTCCTCTTCATAAAATGGAAAACAGAATAATTAATAACAGAGGTCTGTGAAAACAAGAATCCCAAAGTCAATGTAGAAAACAAGAACATAGATACTAAATATGATTCTTTAATGCTTCCATGACACTCAGGGCAGAGGCGATGCAGCCATCGAAGTTGGACTGAGTAAATCCATCCCCTCCACACACCAGGGAAGGGTTGACGTGAAGAGTCATCTGGCCAGGACAGTTGACAGCTGAGTTTGTAACCTGAAAAAAGCAAAGATGAAGAAGAAAAGATTGGAGTTGACGTTCAATGTGCCACTGCACTATTATGGCAATGCCCGCTAGGCTTTTGCTACCTAGAGAAATTAAAATTTCACACATGGAAAAAAAAAAAGAGAGAGAGAGAGAGAGAGACTGTCCCAAAGGTTACCTCTTGCCAAAATATTTGCATATATATTCTCAAATGTTTAAAATTTTAATTACCAAATAACTGGAAATGTATTGAACTTCTAGATTTGTAGATGCTATGGTCTGAATGCTTACCCACTCCAAATTCCTGTGTTGTTCTCCTGTGCTCGATAATTTTATGTCTTTTATGTCAACTTGACACAAGGTGACGTCATCTGAGAGGAGGGAACCTCAATTAAGAAAGGCAAGCTTCTAGGGCATTTTCTTATTAAGTGATTGATGGGTAAGACCCAGCCCATTGTGGGTGGTGCCATCCCTGGGCTGGTGGTCCTGGGTTCCATAAGAAAACAGGCTGAGGAAGTCATGAGGAGCAAGCCAGTGAGCAGCACTCCTCCATGGTCTCTGCATCAGTTCCTTCCTCCAGGTTCCTGCCCTGTGTGAGTTCCTGCCCTGACTTTCTTTGATGATGAACAGTGATATGGAAGTGTAAGCTAAATAAAGCCTTTCCCCCCCAAACTTGCTTTTTGGTAATGGTGTTTCATCACAGCAATACTAACCCTAACTAAGACAGCTCCTGACCCAATGTCTCTGCAAAACGTTTCTGCTTTTAAAACACTGGTTCTCAACCTGTGGGTCATGACCCCTTGGAGGAGGGTCTAACGACCCTCTCAGAGGGGTTGCATATCATATATCTTGTATATCAGATATTTACATTACAATTCATAACAGTAGCAAAATTACAGTGATAAAGTAGCAACAAAATAATTTTATGGTTGGGGGTCATCACAACATGAAGAACTGTATTAAAGGGTCTCAGCATTAGGAAGGGTGAGAACCACTGCTTTAAAAGATTCTAAGGGGTGACGAGGGAAAATGGCTTAGTTGGCAAGCCTGCTTGCTGTGCAAACATGAGAGCCTGAATTGACATTGCCAAGCACCCACATAAGAAGCCAGGAGCACACAGTCCTGTAACACTTGTGTTGGATGAGTGGAGACGGGCTTCCCTTCCACATGTGCTTTCTAAGCTCTGTTCTCAGAGGTCTCGTTTTGCAGAGACATCCTTATTTTTATGCTATGTTTTGTCTCCCCTGACCCTCAGTATTGGAAAGTGAGCCCATAGGCTTCAGCATGCTAGGCAAACCCAAAAGCTGTTCCTAGCCCTTCTATTTTGCTTTAACAAGAGGTAAAGATCTTGAGACACCTGTGTTATGGTATACAAACACAATGCTGACAGTCTCATAATCACACTTTTCTGGAGGCTACTTTATAGAAACATCTATACACACAGATGAAAATCTTGAAACCTCTGAGACAAAGACCTTTGAGCAGCAAACAAGCAAATATTGGGGGCAGAGAGGCACAGACTTGGGTATTCAACTAGAGCTTCCAATTTTTGCTTAGGTAGGATTTTAACAAGTTGGGCTATTTGATTTGTCAGTGAAACATTAACAAGGAAGAAACTTCTAACTTAGGTCTAAGCTAGTCAGGTGGTAACATTCACAATTTCAAAATGCTTCAAGTCTGAAAGGAAGGGAGTCTCAGCTCGCATGGAAACAGGGCATATGGTAAAGAGAACAATGGTAGGACCTGAGATCAGCGGGGGTGGGGGTGGGGCGCGGGGGAGCCCA